ATAGATAGATAGATAGATAGATAGATAGATAGATAGATAGATAGATATAAAGAGAAATATGAATATATATAAAGAGAGATGATTAATGACAGAGATAATGATTGATAGATAGATAGATAGATAGATAGATAGATAGATAGATAGATAGATAGATAGATGATAGATAGATAGATAGATGGATAGATAGACAGGCAGGCAGGCAGATAGATAGATAAAAGAAATATGAAGATATATAAAGAGACAGAGATGATTGATGATAGAGATGATGATAGATATAGATAGATAGATATAAAGAGAAATATGAAGATATATAAAGAGAGATGATGATGATAGAGATAGATAGATATAAAGAGAAATATGAAGATATATAGAGCTAGAGATGATTAATGATAGAGATGATGATAGATATAGTTAGATAGATATAGATACAGATAGATAGGCAGATAGATATGATAGATATGAAAGATATCGATAGATGATAGGTAGATAGGTAGATTGATAGATATATAGATATACATATATAGACAGGTAGGTAGATTTGATTGATTGATTGATAGATAGATATGATAGATTGCTGGATGAAGAAGTTCCTCCAGGCCTTTGATCATCTTAGATAGATTCAGATTAACAGAGTTGGAAGGGACCTTGTAGGTCATCTAGTCCAACCCTCCGCCCAAGCAGGAGAGACCCTACACCATTTCTGACAGAGGGCAGTCCAGTCTCTTCTTGAAAGTCTTCAGGGATGAAGCTCCCACAACTTCCGAAGGCAACTTCTGCTTCCGTTGGTTGTTCCAAATGAAGGATTAACTTTTGGATCTGTTTTGTCTACGCAGAAGCTGGAAGCCAAATCTCTCATCAAGCTGAACTTTGCCAAAAACAACGACGGTGAGTCGGCACAATTTATGAAAAAGTGGATATGAGGATTGTGCAGATGACAAGGAGGCCCTGGGGAGCCTGGAACAAATGATTCTTCTGCCTTTTTGTCACAATGAGTCCTTTGTCCCCCCCTAAAATCAGGGCTCCGGGTTGGGAGACGCCCATCATGGAAATACCATAGTCCTGTACTTACGACCACCTAAAAATCCCATTGCACAAGATGGTTGTGAACTGGGTTTTGCTCCATTTTGCAACCTTTCCTGCCGCCGTTAAGGGAATCACAGCCTCCTAGTGAGTGACCTAGTGTAAGGCATCCAGAAAGTATCCATGATATCAATCACTCCGAGACATATTCTCTCCAATTGATTTATTTAGGAACAGATCTGGTATGTCTAAGGCAATTTCCCAAAGTGAAAGTATTTTCGAGTGTTACATTGAATCTACCTTCTCTCCTCCCACTTCTACACTTCATAAATCACAAGAACCAATTAACTGCAACTGGAATTTCTTAGTGAGGCATACAGAATAACCTTGAACTTTTCAACACCTCCACCACCACCCCCTTGAATTATGTGGCAGCTGAATTTCAAAGCTGACACCCAGAGCCAATCACTAGGCAGCTGTGAATTTGTCCTGCCTTAGGCATGAAAGGTGACTGGGTGACTTCGCGCCAATCACTAGGAGGCTGTGAGTTCTAGTCCCACCTTAAGCATGAAACCCAACTGGGTGACCTAGATCCAATCACTAGGAGGGTGTGAGTTCTAGTCCTGCCTTAGGCATGAAACCCAACTGGGTGACCTAGAGCCAATTGCTAGGAGGCTGCGAGTTCTAGTCCCGCCTTAGGCACGAAAGCTGTCTGGATGACTTTGGGCCAATCACTAGGAGGCTGCGAGTTCTAGTCCCGCCTTAGGCATGAAACCCAATTGGGTGACCTGGAGCCAATCACTAGGAGGCTGTGAGTTCTAGTCTCACCTTAGGCATGAAAGCTGTCTGGATGACTTTGGGCCAATCACCCCGGAGGTGGGAAAATGAGTCCTGTCTTTGGTTCATTTCTCTCTCTTTTTCCTTCTTCAATTTAGGGAAATACCACTGCCCGGTGCTTTTCACCGTCTTCACCAATAACTCCCACATCGTGGCCATCAAGACCACCGGGAACGTCTTTGGTTTTGAGGTGAGCATGTTCACAGTGGACGAGACACGGGGATACGGGTAGTTCCCTAACTTACAACCAGCATTTCCACTGCTAAGCAAGGCGGTTGCTAAGTGAGCCGCACTCAACCCTCCCATTGATTCCCCGTTTCTTCCTTTTTTCTTTTTCTTTTTTTGCAAGGCGGTTGAGCAGCTGAATATAAAAACCAAGACCTTTAAGGATCTGTTGAGCGATGAGCCCTTTTCCAGGCAAGATATTATTACATTGCAGGTAAAGTTTTAAAAAGAATGAAATGGGTTTTGGTTTTGGCATTCTCCTCTTTCCAGTTTTTTAAGAGTCTCCATTTCTTCTCTCTCTCTCTCCTCTCGCTCACTTCCCCTCTTCTCTCTCCCTCCTTCTCTTTCTCTCTCTCTTCTCTTTCCTCTCTTCTCTCTCTTCACTCTCCTTTTCTCTCTTTCTCCTGCTTTTTCTCCTGCTCTCTCTCCTCTCTCCCTTTCTTCTCCCTTCTCTTGTCTTCTGTTCCCTCTCCCTCCCTCCTTCTCTCTCTCTCTCTCCTACTTTCTCCTCTCTCTCTCCTCTCTCTTTCTTCTCTCTGCTCTTCTCTTCTGTTCCCTCTCCCCTTTCCATCCCTTCTTCTCTTTCTCTCTCTCTTCTCTTTCCTCTCTCCTGTTCTTTCTCCTGCTCTCTCCTCTCTCCTTTCTTTTCCCTTCTATTGTCTTCTGTTTCCTCTCCCTCCCTCCTTCTCTCTCTCTTCTCCTTTCTCTTCCTCTCTCCTGCTCTCTCTCTTCTCTCTTTCTTCTCCCTGCTCTTCTCTTCTGTTCCCTCTCCCTCCCTTCCCCCCTTCTCTCTCCCTCTCTCCTCTCCTCTTCTCTCTTCTCTCTCCTCTCTCTCTTCTCTTTTGTCTCTCTCCCTCCATCCCCCTCTTTCTCCCTCTCTTTCTCCCCCCCCCCCCACATCTCCTCCCCTCCCGACTTACTGAACGTCAGTTCACTTTTACTGCTGGGCCATAAAACTAAAGATTTATTTACCAGAGAGAGCAAACAATTTCAGGGCTGAGTGAAAGGCACAATTATGTCACTTAATGAGAGATGGGGCAATCCGTTCCCTCTCGAGTGAGCCAATGGAATATTATTGGAAGAAGCTTTCTTATCGCAAGACACAATGCCACATTCATCTGCGCCCCCCTTCTGCCATTTGCATTCCAACTGACATCTCCTCCTCCTCCTCCTCCTCCTTCCTCTTCCTTCGACCATTCTCTCAGCTCTGGGTTTGGATTCGGGCCAAGGGGCGTTCATCCTTGCCCGCGGTGCCGGATTTTTATTTATGTATTTGGCAGTGGCAGAGGGGGGAAAAAAAAACTGCTCTGGAATCCGTCCACGTCACATTTCAAAAGAGATGGTGCCGGAACGAAACAAAGCTTTTTTTTTAATCCCATCTGCCCTGATGGCTCCCCCCCCCCCCCCCAAAAAAAAATTATGAATAGAATAGAATTCGTTATTGGCCAAGTGTGATTGGACACACAAAGAATTTGTCTTGATGCAAATGTTCTCAGTGTACATTAAAAAGAAAGGATACGTTCATCAAGAGTCAAGAATCATTAGGTACAATGCTTAATAATAGTCATAGGGTGCAATAAACAATCAAAACCTACTAGGAAACAATCAATATGAATCATAAGGATACAAGCAACAAGGTTACAGTCATGAGTCACAAGTGGGAGGGGATGGGTGAAAGGAAGGATGGGAGGATTAATAGTAATAGTGATAGTAATGCAGACTTAAATAAATAGTTGGACAGTGTTGAGGGAATTATTTGTTTAGCAGAGGGATGGCGTTCAGGGGGAATCTTGTCTGTCAGCGTTCCAGAAAACTTCCACTCCAACAAATAACTCCGAGACAGACATCCTCTCCAAGGTTCCTTTTATTAAGTAAACTGGCACATCCAGGAAATCCCAAATCTGAAATTTCTGGGTTTCCTTGCAATAAGTAAAAAATTACAAATCCACCCCCTGCACCCATCATTGCATCACATGCCCCAATCATCATCCGTCCCAACTTGAGACGTCCTCTCAACCAGGTGCAGAAATAACATGACCTTGACTTAGAAGAAGGTTATTATGTCTAACTACATATACACTCCAAGAAATTCCCCCCTCCCACTTTCCCAGGCTCAAGAATGTGAGTGTGGAAGCGTCTGGTGATAGATAGATAGATAGATAGATAGATAGATAGATAGATAGATAGATAGATAGATAGATAGATTGATTGATAGATGATAGATGAAAGAAAGAAAGAAAGAAAGAAAGAGAAAGAAAGAAAGAAAGAAAGAAAGAAAGAAAGAAAGAAAGAAAGAAAGAAAGAGAAAGAAAGAAAGAAAGAAAGAAAGAAAGAAAGAAAGAAAGAAAGAAAGAAAGAAAGAAAGAAAGAAAGAATACTTTATTGGCCAAGTGTGATTGGACACACAAGTAATTCGTCTTGGTGCAAATGCTCTCAGTATACATAAAAGAAAAGATTCATTTGTTAAGAATCAAGAATCATAACGTACAACACTTAATGATAGTCATAGGGTACAATCAGCAATCAAATCATACTAGGAAACAGTCAATATAAATGGTAAGGATACAAGCGACAAAAGTTATACAGTCCTACAATCACAAATGGGAGGGGATGGATTGATAAGGAGTGATGAGAAGATTAACAGTAATAGTAGTGCAGACTTTGTAATAGTTGAACAGTGTTGAGGGAATTATTTGTTTAGCAGAGTGATGGTGTTCGGGAAGAAACTGCTAATACGGCTTCCAAAACTGACACTGTCCTTGTGTCTAGTTGTTCTGGTGTGCAGTGCTCTATAGCATTGTTTTGAGGGTTGGAGTTGAAACAATTAATGTGCGGGATGTGAGGGGTCTGTAGATATTTTCACAGCCCCCTTTTTGACTTGTGAAACATACAGGTCCTCCATGGAAGGCAGGTTGGTAGCCATTGTTTTTTCTGCAGTCCTAATTACTCTCTGCAGTCTGTCTCTGTCCTGTTGGGTTGCAGAACCAAACCAGACAGTTACAGAGGTGCAGATGACAGTAATTCCTCTGTAGAACTGGATCAGCAGCTCCTTGGGCAGTTTGAGGCTTTCTGAACGGAGTCGGATGCGCAGCACCGCTCAGCATTGTGTTCCAGAACTCCCATTCTTCTCTTTTCAATTTATTTCGTTTTAGGATCCCACCAACGTGGACAAATTTAACGTGTCCGGCTTTTTTCACGTGAAGAACAATTTGAAAGTCACTGACCCGGGTAAGGAGGATGGTGGAAAACTGCAGGTAGTCCTCGACTTACAACAACCATGAAGGCCCCAAACTTTGGTGGCTAAGCGAGACCTTTATGAAGTGAGCTTTGTTCCATTTTGCGACCTTTCTTGCCACACTGGTTCAGCGGATCGCTGCCGTTGTTCAGTGAGTAACACGGTTGTTAAGTGAATCTGGCTTCCACCATTGTCAGAAGGTCACAAATAGGGGATCACATGACCCCCTCCCCCCCCAAGGACACTGCAACCGTCATAAATGTGAGTCAAGTTGCCGAGTTTCCAAATTTTGATCCACAACAGTCATAAGTGTGAAAGCATGCTGGCTGAGGAATTCTGGGAGTTGAATTCCACTCATCTTAAAAGAATTCTGGCTGAGGAATTCTGAGAGTTAAAGCCTCTTCAAGCTGCCACATTTTAAGTAAGACAGCTTTAGATGCTGATTAGCTTCAGTGGCCTCCAATATTTCACCGCCGCCCTGTTAACACCTGTAGCTCTGACCCTCCCCAGTTTTCCCAGGTGAGCAAGGCCATTCCTGACCTGTTAACAATCTTTTGCAGATGACGAAAAAGCCAGGTCCGACCCCTCCTATTACCTGAAAAATGCCAACATCGAGACCAGAGAGACGCTGTTGGAGTTATACAAAGAATTCAAAGGGGACGACATTCTGGCAGCTACCATGAAAGAGCCAGAGAAGAAGAAAACGGACAGGCTGAATGCGGTGAGTTGATTGGTCCAGGGCCATTTTCAAAAAGTTACTGGAGAATGGAGCAGATCTAGAACCCTGCATTTCCAAACTTGGCCGCGGGAAGATGGGAGGACTTCAACTCCCAGAATTCTGGCACAAGACGTAGTAGTAACGCCGGTTGAATCCCACCCCTGTTTATACTAGAGTTTTTAATTGTATATTTATGGAGCGTTTTTATTTTGTTCTGGTCTCTGGTCTATGACTATAATAAACTGAAATGGATGGCTTGACCTGGCATAAAAGAGAAATACAATGAGGAGGGAAGAGGAAAACAAAACAAGGCAGATGACCTGTTTGGAGTCCAGACTGGCCCACCGTGGCCGCCATTTTCCACAAAGACAACTCTCTCTCCTGGCATCCTCCACGGTGTATGCACACACACCCCTCCTCCTCTTTCAATGCAAGTGGCCCTCCACGTGCGACCACAACGAAGCCCAAAACCTATGTCACTAAGGGGGACATAGTTTGGCCCCATTTCACGACTTTCCTTGTGCCACGTTGGTTCAAGCGAATCCCTGCCGCTGTTAAGTTGGTACCACGGTTGTTAAGCGAATCTTACAAAAGGGGATTGCTCGACCCTGGGGGGACACTGCAACCGTCATAACTACAAGTCAGTTGTCACGCGTCCGAAGGTAAATCACGTCACCAGTCCTGAGAGTGAAAAACGGTCCTAAGTCGCTTTTTTTTTACAGCGACGATGTAACTTCGGTCACTAAATGAGCTGTTGTAAGTCAAGGACTACCTTGTACTGCAAATATTCTCACCCTGAGGTCCTCATCGGTTGCTGTTTTAACAGGCTCACTATTCCACTGGGAGAGTCAGCGCCTCGTTCACATCCACTGCCATGGCACCTGAGACGACCCACGAAGCAGGTAAAATAGACTTCCGAAGGCAAACCTTTCCACTGGTGAATTGTTCTAACTCTCAGGAAATGTCTCCTGAGTGCTGGGTTGCTTCTTTCCTTGGTTAGTTTCCCTCCATTGCTTCTTGTTCTGCCTTCTGGTGCTCTGTTTATATATATATACATTTATTACATATTTACTTCGTTCTTATTTACTGTTATTTCCACTCTTTGAGGACCGTGTGTTGATCGGTAACATATAGAACAGAATATAGAACTGAATTGATTGAGCTTTCGAGAGCTTAAAGAAATGAAAAGGGACGCGATTTTTCTTCATCGTATTTTCCAAATCTCTCCTCTCTTTAGAATAGAATACAATACAGTACAGTACAATACAGTACAATACAAATACAAATACAATACAATCACAGAATAGAATAGAATAGAATAGAATAGAATAGAATAGAATAGAATAGAA